TGTATGTTTGCCTTATAAACACGTGGACCGTCCCTGCTTTAAGGCTTCTCATGTGAACCTGGACCGACGTGGACGCCGGCTGCAGCTCGGCTGGTTTAAATTCGCCATATTTCCTCAGAGACTGGTTATCGGGCATCTCGTTGCCGAGTCGTGCAGATATGACTAATGCTGCAGATGCTGTGGTTATTAGCTGGCAGCTCATTTACATACTCCAGCACTGGCTGCCCGCTAACCCTCGTCAGCTGCACAGCTTTCACTCTGGCTATATTTAGAGCCGCTGGCCGTGTTTACGTCTTCCTCTCGTCGATTCGATTAATAATCCTGACGAGAGGCGTCTTGCTCCACGTGATAGAAGTTAAGAAATCACCAAACTGAGAACGCAGTCGGCACAAAGCTGCTGCAGCCGAGTGTTGATTCATGCTCCGGTGTGGAATAACCCTGCCCTCAGTGTGGGGAACACCTACATCCGTCCCCACAAATAACAAAAGAAGGCTTTTATTTTGAAAAATCGCATTTCCATCTTCAGTTGCTGCAGAAAAGTTTGATGTAAAAACGTCATAAAGTGTTGGATGCTCAGAATGTCTTCACTGTTTAGACACAATAAAAGTTCATAAAAATGAGGTTTTTGAAGTTCAGCTCCTGATAAAAGTTTCTGTCAAACCCCTGAGTGGCGTCAAAAAGCTCAGAGCGACTGAAGCAGCACCAGTATGTGAATCAGGACGGGTTGTTTTGTGGGTGTTGGCTGATTGGAAGCTGATCTCCAGGAGCTAAATGTACAAACCAGCTTTTAGTTCTGAGACAGTTTAAAGGTTCTCGCAGACTTTTAGAGTCTAAAACTAAAAATACTGACGTTTGAAGACGCAGCTGCAGCCAGACGACGTCATGTTTGTTGTTTTTCCTGCCGTGCAGATGACCTGATGGCAGACCAAAGGATGGACATCTCGTCTACGATGACCGACTTCATGTCCCCCGGCTCCATCAGCACGCCCGGCATGGACTACACCCGCAAGAGGAAGGGCAGCACCACCGACTACCAGTGAGTAAAACAAAAACGCTGCATCAGGACACGTTTAAAGTCTCACTTCAGCTATAAAGAGTCCCGTCTGAACACAGTAAATACACAGACGCTGTAGCCCCGAAGGTGTGGGGAGGGGGGAAGAAGGGAATTAGTTAGAAAAAAAAAAAATGTACAAAAAGCAAAAAAAAATAAAAATAAAAAAGATTGTTATATAATATAAATTACAAGTTGGAAAATATTAATTTAATGTACATAAACACTGATTAAAATGAGACATCTTTATTAAAATGTACCAAAAAAATTAATAAAAATATATATATATATTTGTGGAAATTACATGTAAAATATTAGTATTATTAAAATGCACAAAATATATGATTATTTGTGAAAATATTAAGTTCATGTGCAAAAATATTGTTTAAATATGACAATATTCTTACAATGTACAAAAAATATATAATTGTTTGTGGAAATTATATGTTGGAAAATATTAATTTAATGTGCAGAAATACTGATTAAAAATGAGACAACATTATTAAAATTAACAAAAATTCCGAATAAGTTTTACAAAAATATAATTATTTGTAGAAATGTTAAATTCATGGGCAACAATTTTGATCAAATATGACAATATTCTTAAAATGTGCAAAAAATATGAATAAAAGTTTTTTAAAAATCATGAAATGTACAAAAATATAATTATTTATGGAAATTATATCTTGGAAATGTTTTAATTTAATGTGCAAAAATATTCATTAAATATCAGAAAAGTATTTAAACATAAATATAAATATTAAGTTTGAAAATATATTTGTAGTATGTTGGAAAATATTGTGTTTATTTATGTTTTAAAAATAGAAATAAAATGCTGGAAAATTTAAATATGCCAAAACATTAATGTCAGAGAGAAATGCGACAAAAATATTAACAACAGGATGTTGGAAGATATTAAAATGTGAGGGTCAAATGTGGGCAAATATTATTACAAATATGCAAAAAATATTAATAAAGTGATGGAAAAAATAATAAAATGGTCACAAATAATAATATATTAATTAAATATGTGACAATATTATTAAAATGTGGCAAAAATGTTTATAAAATAATTAGAGAATGTTAATAAAATGTTCAAAAAAATTTACAGTGTCAAAAATATGAATACAAATTTGGAATAAATAAATATTATTGTGCAAAAATATGAATCAAGTATAAGATGGTGTTATTAACATCGACCAAAAATCTTAATAAAATGTCTGAAGATATAAAATTAAAGCAGACGAGTTAAACGAGGACGTGGAGCAGGTCTGTCCTCGTTCACCTCCTGAACCGTCGTGTGTCGCAGCGTTTATTAAACTCATGTCTGTTTTTATTAAACAAATACTCACACTGTTCAGCACCTCGCTGACAGAAACTGATGAATTCGTTTGTGCTTTTTTGCAGGATTGATGGCTTCTCGTTCGAGTAAGTTCCACCGACACGACTCGATGTTAACGAACGGAGAGAGTTTAATTAACATGAAATATTGAGCAGACTGAGAATCAAACCTGCTGAACCCGGTGAACCGTTTTCAATCTAACGTCTCGTGTCTTTTCCTTCTCAGCGACATGGACCCAGACAAAGACAAGCTGGGGAGGTAAGAACGATCAATTTCCTTCAAAGCTTCAGTTTGTTTAAATCACAGAATGCTCGTTTCATGTCGTCGTCTGTAGAAGAGCGGCTAAGATTCATGAATCACTTCAGCTCCGATACAAAGGAGGGGGATGGAAGTTTATTTATCATAATATAATATAATAACATTTGAGGTTTTTAACAGGGGCAGCTCTCTCCAGATTCAAAAATATTCATGAAATATTTTTTAAAAATATATAAATAAAATTTCCCCAAATGAAATGTATGAAAAAAATGTCCCCCCAAAATTAATTACTATACAATATAAATTATATGCTGGAAAATGTTAATTTAACGTCCAAAGATACTGATGAAATATGAGACGATATTATGTTAAATGTTTAAAAAAAATAATCCAGAGGAGGTGAAATGAAAGTTTGATTTTCCAGAATTAAAAAATAATATTTATAAAATGTCAAAAAAAAAAAATCTCCGAAAGTATCAATAAAATGAACAAATATTAATTTTAAATAATTAGGATATAATATAAATTATGTGTTTAAAAAATATTGATTTACTGTGCAAAAAGTACTTAATAAATATGAGACAATATAACGTTGAATGTTTTTTAAAAAAAAAAAAAATCCAGATGAGGTGAAGTAGAAGTTTAATATCATTACACTTGAGCTTTTTAACAGCTGCAGCTCTTTCCAGATTCAAAAATATTTATAAAATGTAAAAACATTTTAAAAAAATTGTTAAAAAACATATAATGAAATGTACTTAAATAAATATTATATAATATAAGCTATATGTTGGAAAATATAAATTAAATGTGCAAAAATACTGATTAAATATGAGACGATATTATGTTAAATATAAAAAAAATAATCCAGACGAGGTGAAATAGACGTCTTTTTCTTTTTTCTTTTTCCTTTTTTTTTTTTTTTTTAGCATTTTAACAGCTGCAGCTCTTTTCAGATTAAAAAGTATTTATAAAAATGTTATATATATATATATATATAAGTTTCCCAAAATATCAGTACAATTTGGCAAACGTTAATAAAATATACAAAAAATATTTAAATCATAGTAAATATGTAAAATATTAAAAAATGTAATATTGCAAATGGCTTCAGATTCATATTTATTTATTTTCTATTTTTTATTAAATGACAAAGCTGCACTGAGCGGAACAGTCGAGAACCACCAACAAGTTGAAAATTCTGAGATTTTTAATAAAAAAATAAAAAAGGTAAATAAAATATGCATATATGTGTGTGATGTTTGCAGAATCCGGCTTTTTTGAACTCACTGGAGGAGCAAAGCGTTGTCTGGAAAGATGTGTTAGTTTATTAATAATAATAATAATAATAATAATAATAATAACTTTATTTATATCAGACCTTTAAGAACGGCTTTGACAGTCAAAACATGAGGCAGAACAGTCAAATAAAAACAGAACTGGTGATAATGAGTTAAATTAATAAAGCAGCAGGGTGATAAACTGACCATAGAACCAGATGTAAGCAGCTCATGAATACAGGACAGAACACTGAATCTACCTAAAGCTGAACTTCACACACAGAAGAAGTTTTAAGAAGGGATTTATTAGATGAACTTGATTTGGAGCCGTAGCTCCTTTAGCTTGAGGACGGAGCTGGTGTTGGTGCTGGGAGGTGTTTTCTGGGCTCGGGGCCAGCGGGCTGGGTCGGAATCCTCCTCTATTGTTCTGCACCGCCGAGCGTGTGAAGCAGAACCACGTCAGATCGTAAAGTCAAACATAAGCCTGCTGCGGCGGGTTGCGTAACGCCGACGCCGGTTAAACCACCAAAGCAGGCCTGTTACAGAACCGGTGGCCCGCTTATCAGAATAGCTGCATCAGCTCAAAGCTCATGTGTGTGTTTCCTGTCTGTGTGTTTCTGCAGCGACCAGCAGGGCCGGATTAAGAACGCCAGGTACCTGAACGCCTCTCTGCTGCTGTTACAGGGACCAGGATCAGGGTTCAGGTCACCAGAACGACCAGAACTGGTCCACATGTAGACAGACCAACACTTCCTGATCTGTTCTTTTACTGTTTGACATAAAAGTTCTCTGTGTTTACATCAGCTGCCAGAGTTTCCTGTTTCATTATGAAATGAAATGAAATGAAAATACTTTATTTATATATTATTATTAATACTTTATATACTTTATTATAGTTTCAGTGATATTTTTATTTATTGTTGGATGATGAGAACAATAATAACCTGAGTTCCTGCTGCGTCCTCAGAGAGGCTCACAGCCAGATCGAGAAGCGCCGCCGCGACAAGATGAACAGCTTCATCGACGAGCTGGCGTCTCTGGTCCCCACCTGCAACGCCATGTCCAGGAAGCTGGACAAGCTGACCGTCCTCAGGATGGCGGTCCAGCACATGAAGACGCTCAGAGGTCAGAACCAGGAAGTGGGCAGTGGAGGGAGGGCGGGCCCAGAGAGTAGAGGGCCTGAGGGAGCAATAAGGGGAGATAAGATCCACTGGAGCAGGTTTACGAGGTTAAAGGATAATAACAATCCTTATTTATAGGGATCTTTTCAAAATAAAAGCCAAAAATTATCAGGATTTACAATATTGAAAACACATGATGAAAAAAATCTGCTTCTGAACCCTGAGTTTATAAAAACCAGTAATTATTAAAGCCTCCTGAAACATACTGGGAACCAGTTTAAAGAGGCGGGAACATACTGGGAACCAGTTTAAAGAGGCGGAAACATACTGGGAACCAGTTTAAAGAGGCTAAATCATACTGGGAACCAGTTTAAAGAGGCTGAAACATANTGGGAACCAGTTTAAAGAGGCTGACACATACTGGGAACCAGTTTAAAGAGGCTGAGACACACTGGGACACCAGCACCCAATATTAGATATCAATTTCACTGCTAACTGATATTTAGAACTAGTTTACATTCGCAGCAAAAAATTAGTCAAACCAGACTCCATCATAGATGCGTTTTTCCTTATATATTCAAATAAATATGCATTTTTAATTGGAAGAGAATTTAAAGTTAAATTGGTTTATTTTGCTGGGAATTGGTTAGAAAAAAGAAAACCACTGATCCGAAAAATGCAGAATATCGGATCCCTGTTCTGAGATTTTACCGATTTGATAGAGAACATGAAGGATGGATCCATCGGTAATGAAAACAACCTTCAGTTGCTCCTTATTGAGGATGGTTCACAGCTAATTTATCATGGTGCAGCTTTATTATTATTTATAGTTTTTGTTGGAGACTCAAACGTGTGAAGTTAAAAATATGAAGGATACGGAGGAGGGACGGAAGTGTGGTTACGAAAGCTTCACATTCATCACTGAGTCATTTAGTGTCGACTAATGACTCCAAGTATAAACTGTGTTTGATGCACCTTAAGAAGTGATGAAGTCCGTTTGAGGAGCTACAGGTGTGTTTTACCTGTTGCAGGTGCAGCCAACCCGTACACAGAAGCAAACTACAAACCCTCCTTCCTGTCAGACGATGAGCTGAAGCACTTGATACTAAGGGTGAGTCCGGACGTCTTCAGTGTTGTTTTATTAATTATGACACGCTGTAGCTGCAAACACACATTTCAGCTGTTATTTCAAAATAAAACACGTTGATTTCTGTGTTTCTTCTGCTGACGCAGGCTGCCGATGGTTTCCTCTTCGTGGTCGGATGCGATCGTGGGAAAATCCTCTTTGTTTCTGAATCGGTGTACAAGATTCTCAACTACAGTCAGGTACGTTCAGGGAGGAACCGGAGGACGCTGCTGCCGTGGGATTTATTGTTGTTGGTAAAGCTGCTCGACCTTTGAGGACTTTAAAAGGAGTTTTCACATCTAGAAATGGAGCTAAATCATCAAACTAGGTCATCTGTGTGGTAGATTTAGTCGTTTATTATATGTCGCTGCGCCGTCTCGGATGTTCACACTGTAAAACTTATGTTCTGCAAAATGTTTTGGCTGAATTTGAAGAATTTCATGTTAGACATTTTTATACTTTAACCTGCAAAAAACATCCGTGAAGCCATTTTAAAGGTTCAGTATCTCCAGAAATAAAACTCCAACAGCCATGAGATGTGGTGAGGACTCAGAGAGGATAGTTTATATCAGATCAGGATGATTGAATGGATCCAACAGAGGACACATTTTTTAATTATTAGACAGTGAAAATAGGGGAAAAGGGCAAAAAGTGCAATCCAGGCTGGTGTGGTGGCTCCAGAAAGTTCCTGTCTCCTCAAAAAAATCTCATAGTTGTCCTGCACGACTCGAAACGTGTCCAAAATGACTCAGAATTCTCTAAAACGACTTCAAATTATTCATAAATAACACAAAAATGTCATAAATTAGTCAAAAAATCAACTTTATTGTGCAAAAATTGACAAAAAGTTATACAAAATATGTCTAGAGCCTCAACAGTTGGTGAAATGTGACCAGAGACTGGATTCTAGTAGAAACATGGATCCATCCATAGACAGACACTGACAGGAACTTTATGGATCAGAACCAGCCTGAGTTGGACATTATGTCCATTTTCAAGGTCCAGTAATTCAAACTGTGTCCTCTGCTGGATCCATTCAGTGGTTCTGATCTGATATAAACTATCCTGTCTGAGTCCTCACCACATCTCATGACTGTTGGAGTTTTATTTCTGGAGATACTGAACCTTTAAAATGGCTTCTTGGGTGTTCTTTGAGGTCAAAAATACAACTGTCATGTCTGAAAACACATGAAAATGTCAGAATTCAGCCTGAACTTTTAGTTCTGGGTCCCAAATGACAAACCTGAGCAACACAGTGATCTGATCTGACTCAGCGTGACCCAGACAAGCTCAAGGAAAAACCAATTTAGTGAGATGTTGGGACACCACATGCTGCTCGCTGCTGGTTTTCCAAACATCACTTTTTCCAAACGAACCACCAGCTCTCACTGCGGGGGTCAGAGCTTCGGGTTTCTCCTTTGATTTGGAACTTCTTCAGGCCTTTGTGTGCAGCAGCAGAGTTTCCTAAAAAGAAGACGTGAAGGGTTTCTGCAGGGTCTCAGTGGTTGTAAAGATGTGATCCTCTGTCGTCCTGCAGAACGACCTGATCGGCCAGAGTCTGTTCGACTACCTCCATCCCAAGGACATCGCCAAGGTCAAGGAGCAGCTGTCGTCCTCCGACACGGCGCCGCGGGAGAGACTCATCGACGCTAAAAGTGAGTTTTCTGATACCAAAACCGTCTGACATCGACAAACGCTCACATCTCCACTGGGTTTTAAAAAAATCTTTGACGCTATAATTACAATCAATTTCAGAATTATGGAGCATTCACTGCTGGGTTTTCTTTCCCCCGTCTGAGCTTCGGGGTTTGATTTTTCCATTTGATTGAAGTATTATATTATAAAAGCTATTAAACGGTGCAGCAGAGGACGGACGACTGGAGGCTGGAAGTCGTTTTCTCAAAGGAAAAATCTTCCAAACGCAGCTGGAGGTAAAAAAAATCAGCACAAAGAGTGATTGATTGGCTCCGGAGGTGTCAGATGGATCGTTTATTACAGCGAATTCCCCAAATGTGTCGTATCTGTGAGCTGGATAGTGAAGAAAAGTGGATTTTTTTATTTCAAGAGTGTTAAAATACGAATATAATGGAGTGAAGAGGCTCAGAGTCGGTTATGGGGGAAAAAAAGCCTCTTTATGGTTGTTTTGTGAACCGTAAGAGTAGTTTTGTGTCTGTTTGTGGCCGTTTTGCTTGTTGTTGGACTGATTTTGGGTCCGTTTGGAAAAAATAAGAGTAATTTTGAGGATGTAGGGTCCCGTTGCTTTTAAATATTTCCAATAACGGACCACTGAAGTTCATCGGAGTGGGTCGAAGCTTCACGCTGCTGTTGATCCTCATGAATACAGAAGTTGTTTCGAGTCCCTTTCATCGAGTTTAAATTCTTTTTTCTCGATAGTTTTCGGTGCTTTTGTTCGAAACTACACGAAAAAAAATGTCCCGACTTTCTCAAAATGTGTTTAAAGTGAAGCGAAAATAGTTTAAGATGGTTTTTGTTTTGTGTTTTTAAAGTCAAATATTGAATTAAGAAAAGAATTATTCATTTTTTTCTCCCCCAAATGACTTAATCAGACCAAATTTGAATATTTTGGACAGTTTTTGAATGATGTTGGACGTGTTTTGCACAATTTGAGTCTTTTTTTTAATGCATTTTGAATAATT